ACTTGGCCACCCTAAATCCAGTCTTCACCAAACTAGGAGGGCAGGTAGAGGAGAGTCAGCTGGAGACTCACTTCGAGTGTGGCATCTCTAGCACGTGAGGGGGGGGGGAGTTCTACTGCATCCCGAAGTCATGAACAGCACGAACCATGAACTGGTCTGTTAAACAGTAAAAATCTGTGTTCTGTGGAACCCACAAACCTATACGAACCTCCATTTTTCTAATCTGTGCCCATCCCTAATCACTACTATCTGAGCCATCAACATTTGGAGCTGGAAGAGTAGTCACTGAAGCTATCAGTATTCCAGGAAAATAGTAGAACAAAGTTTGAGTCCAGTGGCACCTTTAAGACCAACAAAGTTTTATTCAAGGTATGAGCTTTTGTGTGTACACACACTTTTTCAGATACAATGAAATAGAAATAACAGTCATACATATAGAGGGTGAGTAGTAAATTAGCATATGGAATAATGAAGGTGTTTTCAACAGATTAAAATAATAATAAGCATAGTATAGATAGCTATCATCTATTTGGGTTCATCTGGGGGGGGGACAAACACGGCATACGTAATAAATATGTCAGAATTGGAGACTGATGTATCCTTAACTGTGGAATGGTGAGAGTCTGTCTCCTCTCAAGCATGGAGGCAACCTTGCAGCATCTTTTTCTTTGAAGTGAGGCTATGTAGAGTTACTTTCCTTGTCTGTAGACTAGAGAAATACATTTAAATCTGCCTTTCCATACTTAATTACGTTCTTAATTGTTAAGAGTAGTAAACTGAGACTCTCTTGCTCCATTCCATTCTTCTCTTCTCTAGCATCGAGTTAACTAACAGAATCCTTTTCTTAGAGGTGAGGTGCAGTGTTATGTCAGTGTATTATACTACAATCACTATTCCAATATACTGTTCCAAAAAAGAAATAATTAAAATACAGAGGATGTTTAGCACTTCTTGATGAGAATACATACATAAGTACTGAATGAGTTTAGCATATGTAGTGAAATAAGAAACCAGTATCCCTGTTGAGTCCTGGGGGGGGTGTTCCCGAGTGTTATAATAACTTGTCATTCAGCAATTTCCCTTTCTATTCTGTTCCTGAAGTTCCTTTGCAATAAAACAGCTACTTTGAGGTCACCCATTGAATGTCCTGGAATGTTGAAGTGTTCTCCTACACATTTCTCAGTCTTGTGATTCTTTCTAAGAACAGGAGATGTGGGTAGTAGATGTTTTGTCAACCATATTGTCAGTTGAGTGACTGCATAAGCTCCTTTGCACCTCTCCTGTTTTTCCCCTTCTAGCTGTAATATAATCCAAATTAAGATGGTGTCTCCATTCTGACCTAGGTCTTGTCTTCTGGGTCTTAAACTGGTGGGTCCCAAGACCCATGGGTACTGCTAGTCTAACTAGGTGTTCTGTCTGGGGCAAATGCTTCACCCAAATCCATCCAGGCTACTATTATACCTGATTGAGCAGCAGTTCCTGATATGTAAGGGGTCTTCAGTGGGTATGATCTAGGCCACTGTGGTCTCTTGCCAGTCTTTCAACAATAAGATCTGTGGAACTGTGTGTGAGGTTTTTAGAAATTATATTTTTGCAAGGTTACCTCCTCCACTTAAGGTAGACTACTGCAGACTGAATGTGTTCTTCAGTTGGCTCTTAATTAGAGTTCCACACTAAATTTCCTTGTACAGGTATTTCCCACCCAGGCCAGTCCAGGAATGGGAGGGAACCCTGTACTCTTACAGTACATTAAACAACAACCTAAGAGGTAGTCTATACCCTCTCGGGTTTTCAGAACAATATGCCACCAGAACCTCTACAGTGGTTCCCCCCAACCTGAGATTAGAGGTTCAAACTCTCAGGTGGTATCTGCAATTTAACACATTAGCAACTCATTCCCAGAGATGCACACTTTTTACTCTCCAATAGTAGCGTATATGGTGAGCGTTTAGGCCACAAGATTTAGCCTTGGAATTCAGGTACAACATCAAAGACAATTTTAACAATCAGAGGAATCTTTATTTAGTACAGAGCTTAACACAGACTACCAGAGTTTACCAAAATAACAAACCTAAGGTGATTTGCCTTAACTACACAGTAAAAGTTACATATTTACCAAGTTCAGGAATATCCAAACAGTCCAAGGGATTTTGAAGGAAAAGTCCATCTTTGCTCAACCATGTGGTCCAATTCACAAGCAGTTCATTGTCTCTCACGAGACGGCATTTCTAGGTGCCATAAAACAAGCACAGAGAGCAGGAGCAGAGAGAGCTCATTCCCATAGGGATTGAACAGTTATAGCTCAATTCCAGTCATCATTAGCCGTGGCCATTCGGCAAATCACGAGTGGACATAGGTGTGTCCAATTGTTGGTTGCCATAGCTGCAACACAGGAATGGCTAGAAGTTTGGAGACCCCTCCTGCAGTCAGGTGACCCAGCTTCTAGCTACTTCATTTAGTACGTGACTTGTCGCATGTGGGGGCAGAAAGTGTAGCCATGAGGTCTGGCGTTTGGCATGGAAGTGTGAAAGAATGTGGGTTTATGGCATGGCTATTTAGGCCATTTGGCCTTACCATGTGGCTATACAGCAATTCACAAAACCAAACGAAATTATTGTAAAAATATTTAATTTATGATATGTTATAATCATCTGTGCACGGTACTTACTATGTGGCTAGCACGAAGAAACAAGGCACAGCATGTTATCAGAATGTAATCACAGGAGAAGGCATGGATTATAGAAAGCAGAAAGCAAAATTTCTATACAGTCCTTAAAAAGGCGTTAATGTCTGCTCTGTGTTAAGTGGTTGAGAATGGTTTCCTATCCCTCTGCTACACATTTCAAATATTTTGATGGGCAGCATCCCTTTCTATTCCTGTTGCTGTACATGGAATTGCCCACTAGGGCCTCTTTTTAGTACTGACGTCTCTCATGGAAAATGTTGTTGAACCAGTTATAATGGACCCATGCTTCTTCTTTCCTGTGAGGCAGATTTCCCCACCAAAATGCTGTTCCCCCCTCTGACTGAACAGTCTCTTAGTAGCATATTTTAATAACAGAATTATAGAAATTATAACTTTCTGCATGTCCCACCCTGCATGTCCCACCCATATATGCCCTGGAGAGCCCTGTGCTCCAAGGACCACCATCTACTGGTTATCCCCAGCCCGAGGGAAATTCACTTAGCCTCAACCAGGGCCGGGCCTTTTTCTGCCCTGGCTTGGTGGAACATGCTTCCAATCGAGACCAGGGCCCTGCCTGACCTAGTACAGTTTTGCAGGGTCTGCAAAATGGAGCTGTTCTGCCAGGCCTTCAGGTGAGGCGGTGGGCATCGATTCATTGGCCTCCTTGCCACAGTTGCAGTAGTTTCTGCTGCTGGTAGGCTGCTACTGATAAGATCTTCATCACTTGGCTGTGACCCAGTTGTTCCCAGTTTTAAGATTGCTGAATATGTAATTGCTGCTATGCCCATCTTTTTACTGTTTGAACTGATTTTATTGCTTAATATCTACTTTTAATTGCTTATTGCTTGTAATTTAGTGTTGTAACCCACCCTGAGCCTGCTTGCAGGAAGGGTGGGATATAAATCTACATAAATAAATAAAAATTATTTGGCTTTTGCTCAGCCCAGAGATTTATTGTAGCTACGCAGGAGATCTTTGGAAATAGCACTTGACACAAAGTAAAGTTCAAATAAGAATGTTGATTTTATTGAACTGGCACAGTTGGGTTAGGAATAGGGCAGTGGATGAGAAGCTGAAGTAAATTTTATTGTTTGTACAAATTATGATATTTTGAACAGGTAACAGAGTATAGTTGAAGCTTATATTCTTAGAGACTCAGTTCTTGAATGTGAGAAGTTTGTTTGCCTTGGAGATTTCTTTCAGCAACAATGTGTCTTAATAAAGTTTCATATAATGATCTGAATTTCCTGGAAGTTAGTATTTTCTTCCTGTATTTAAAAACTTTCCTTGTGGGATTACACCTTTCCCTTTTTACTCAATCTAAGACTGTTTCCCTTTTCGCACAAACTAGGGGTCCCCTCTGAGATGAACCCACTGAATAACTGGGGAAGAAATATCCTCCTCTTTCTAGGAGTGTAATCCTTTTCTGGTTGGCTAGACTGGCAGTTTCAACCTACTGTCCAGTCTCTTCTGTCAAACCTAAACCCCAGTTCTGGCAACTGAATAAATGGAATTCAACTAAGGCTGACACTTAGACTTTAAGTTCTGATTTCTGAACTTTTCCTCAAATGCGATGGTAGACAGTAAGGGCTAGGTGTTGTGTCCCTTCACTTCCCAAGTGAACTTGTCTGTTTCTGACTCCCTCTGACAAGACTTCTTAAAACTCTCCTCAGCTGGCACTGACCAATCAGAGAGAAGGGGGTACACGCAATCAAACTGTGCTTTACAGTGAGGCATTAACCTCTAATCTCCCAGCTTTCTGAATTTGATGCACTGTCTGTCTACACTAAATGTCCTTAAAAAGATGTTAATGTGTGCCCTGTGTTAAGTGGTTCAGAGTGGTTTTCCTATCCCTCTCCTACACATTTCAAATATTTTGGTGGGCAGCATCCCTTCCTAATCCTCTTGCTGTGCATGTAATTGCACACTAGGGCCTCTTCTTAGTACTGAAGGTTCTCATGGAAAATTTTGTAGAACTGGTGTTTCAGTTAGAGTGATCTTGAAGAGTCCCTTCTATTCCAATTTTAATATTTTCTTCATGCCCATGTGAAGGTGTCTTTTGAAGCTTTTTATCTGTAGTATGCTTTACTCCTGTAGCTATGAAGCTTTTTGCCTGTAGTATGCTTTGCTCCTGTAGCTATGTACTGAAATGTGGAAGGTTTTCCCTTCCAGAAGAGAAGTTGAGTTTGCTGACCCAGCCTTATGTGGGAGGAAAAGTTAATACTTTGACTTCTTCTGGACCTGCTTTCTGAGCATAGTGGTAACTTCCTGTTTGATTTGGGTATGCTTGACCAAAATACTAATCTCTTTACAGGTGTGTAGTGTTGTCTGACCCCCTGAAAGATTCTTCCCGCTCTCAGGAGTCCTGGAATGCCTTCCTGACAAAACTCAGGACACTGCTTCTCATGTCATTTACCAAAAACTTGGGCAAATTTGAGGATGACATGAGAACGTTGAGGGAGAAGAGAACAGAACCAGGATGGAGCTTTTGTGAATATTTTATGGTCCAGGTATGGTGAAGTCATGGGCATTACATGAAAAAATGACATTATTTTCTCAGTCAGCCTAAGTCTGAAGTTGGTTTACTGTACAACTCACATAAAGCAGTGCTTTCACATTAAGAGTTCTTAATATCAAGGCCAGCTTAGGTTGTAAGCAAGCTCCTGTTTCAATGCTTGATTTACCGCATCTAATTAAACATGAAGAAGCAAAGCCAGATATCTGTCAGAATGCTTTTTAGACATGGGATCTAAATACGTTAGAAGTATTTATTTAATTTAACTTTTGTTCAAGAGTTTTCAGGCTTTTTTCTGAAACACTGCTGTTGATTTCCAAAGGAGAATCGGGGGGGGGGGGGGGACAGATCAAGTACACATTTGTTAGATTTTTAAAAAAACTGATTAAAGCCTTTGGACCCCAAACCTGGCAGTGCATATTAACACATGCTTTTCTTTGGATGTTAAAAGGAGGAATTGGCCTTTGTCTTTGAAATGCTGCAGCAATTTGAGGATGCTCTGGTGCAGTATGATGAATTAGATGCGCTGTTCTCCCAATACGTTGTCAACTTTGGTGCTGGTGGTAAGTCCTTACATCAGAAAGTGACATTGCTGTTTTTCCTTTACAAAATTAAAATGAACAATACAACAATGTAAAAGCCTTAAAACCATATTGATCTGAGTTGAAACTATGTGACACGAATAGTCAATTTTAATTGTTGCTTGCTTTACTCAGATGGGGCAAATTGGCTGACATTTTTCTGCCAGCCAGTGCGAAGTTGGAATGGGCTGGTACTCCGCAAACCAATAGACATGGAGAAAAGAGAACTGATTCAGAACCAGGAAGCCACTCTATTAGATTTGCGCAGTTACTTATTTTCTCGCCAGTGCACATTGCTCATCTTCCTTCAGAGGCCATGGGAAGTATCTCAGCGAGCACTAGAACTCCTCCATAACTGTGTGCAAGAGCTAAAGCTCCTTGAAGTAAGTCAATGTAACTTTAATCAGTCAAGTGACTAATTCTTAAGCTTCCTTCCAAGTTGTTTATCACTTGCTTTGGATTAGAGAAGTTGTTTAGGATGGCTAAAGCTTGAGTGTCCTTTGGACAGTGTTTAATCAGTTAATTATGTGAAAGTTTAAAGCATCTGGTTAGGAGAATGTAAAGTAAAGTGTACTGTATTGTAAGATGTGTAAATCAAAGTACACGGAGGTAGTTAATATGCCATGTTCTCTCTGTAGCAGCTAACTGTCCATACATGTAGTTATATAAGGTACTGTGGCTAGGAAATTAATTTCTCAGTATGCCATTTGAGCTGTTAAACACAGTTGTGTTTTCTAAACAGTGGCTGCCTAAACAGTGGCATGATAATGTTCCTGAGATGTTCTTTATGGTTGTGTCCTGGTTGCATATACAGTTTTACAGAATAACCAGATCAACTTTTTGGAAGTTAGTAATGGGCAATCCCCAATCCCAGGCTAGATTCAGAATGTGCTTGGAAAAAATCATTTGTAAAACATTTTAGAAGTTGCTGAATTGACCTACTGTGCTCTTGTGGAACACAATGGGGCCCCCACCCACCTTTCCTTTTCTCAAAATGCACCCTGATGGTTTGGAATTAAAGACATTAAACTATCTTGTTCCCAATGATCTACAAGGCAGTATCAGAGGCTTAAGTAAGGCCCTGCTGTTCCTTGTAAGACTGGGTTGGAAAGGAAAGAGAGAAGTAGGAAAGAGGGACTGATGTGAGGCCAGCCCATTCTGAACCAGGCTCCAAGTTCTAGTAATATTTGGGCCTGGTTCTGGAACATTTCTGCTTCTTCTGTGTCTATTTTTGGATGGTGGGATCAGAGATCAAAAATGTGTTTCAGATGAGGTTGTAACTCTAGTCTTGTATATATTCCAGCATCTCAGTACACCGTTCTTGGTACGGTTCAAACTTTTGTGCTATGACCAGTACTGCACATGTTCTGCTAGGTGAAGGTAGCATGCAAGTTTCCAAGGATTTCTGTGCACTGAACTTAGCCTCAGTGCTTCATCGTTAGTTCTAAATCCCCCAGAGGAGGCTTTACTCTGAATATTTTAAGTCTCTTCTAATATTTACTGTGACAAATTTTATTTTTGACTTGTCCAAAAGCTGCTAAAAGCTGGGGGAGGGGTGTTTGTGCATCCCCCCTCCCACCCATACGTGTCTAATACATATTTTTCTGATATTTATTTTCATAGTCTGCCTTTCTCACTGGTATATGTACCTGTTATATCCCACTTCTGGCTTGCCAAGCTTTTTTTGTGTGTGTTAAAGGACCTTTGCAGACTTCTGGCGGCCTGACTTCTGTTTAGTGCCTTTATTTCCCAGCTTACGTATTTGCGCTGTGTCAGTGGCTACTTGCTTGGAGGGTGGTGTTTGATCTTTTTAGAGACTTTTTTCTATATCCTATTCAGTTTTTGAAGCAGTTATTTATATCCGTTTTAGTTGATAGTGATTTATTAAAATGTGCTGCTGGTATGAATTAAAATTCTTCAAAATGATAGTAATCACAAAGTATTTTTTTAATTATTTGCCAACTTTCTTTGAAAGTTTGTTCTCTTTTTGCCAAACTCTGTTCTGTTAGAATTAATTTCGTGTCTGAACAGAGCCTTTTACCATTTGGTCTTAAGGTCTCTGTTCCTCCTGGTGCTTTGGATTGTTGGGTGTTCTTAAGTTGCCTGGAGGTTCTGCAAAGAATAGAAGGCTGCTGTGATCGGTCTCAGATTGATGCCAATGTTTCCCACACAGTTGGCTTATGGAGCTATGCCACTGAAAAGGTAAGTAAAGTGGATAATGTGTTACTAGGCTATTAGTGACTGGGTCACAATCTGGCAAAGGGAGCTTTGACTCGTGAAAGCTTATACCCTGAAAATCTTGGCGAGCTAGTTTGGTGTAGTGGTTAAGATCAGTGGACTCTATCTGGAGAAACGGGTTTTTATTTCCCAGTCCCTCACATACAGCCAGCTGGGTGACCTTGGGTCAGTCACAGTTCTCTGAGAGCTGTTCTCTCAAGAGCAGTTCTCTCAGAGCTCTCTCAGCCTCACCTACCTCACAGGGTCTCTGTTGTGGCGAGAGGAAGGGAAGGATATCATAAGCCGCTCTGAGACTCCAAGTGAAGGGCGGGGTATAAGTCCAACTCTTCTTCTTTAAGATGCTACTGGACTCGAAACTGAGCTATTGGTGAGAGTGTTCTGTAGTACTTGATGGAAGATCCTTTAATCTAGAAGTTGCTCTTTGCAATATGATACAGATGTTTTACTTTAGGGGCAGATGGAGATTTGAAAACGCAGTGCACTCCAGGTTTAAGACAACAATGTAATACTAGGGCATGATTGGCTGGTTGTGTTCCAGCATATGAATTTTTGTGTTCTTAGTGCTTCATCAGTCCAATGAGCTGCTATTTGTTTTTTCAATAAAATCCTAATTTGTGTGTGTAAGGTCCAATGGAGACATTTGTGGCTAAACATTGTGAGGTGGCTGGGTCACATTGTTCTTCCCCCTACCTCCTTCCGTTTACTGATCTGCCCACATGACCATGTGTTAGACTACTACATTTAGTTGACATGGGGGAGATACAAGTGTAATATGTAGGTACACTTCAGTTCTGTGGTGTACAGGTGTACAGGTTGCTTAATTGTTCCTTACTTATGTTGGAGTAGATGGTTCTGATAATAATTGGAGTAGTTCTGTGTAATAATTAGTATGACTTTGCATCTTGATTTAAATCCTCCAAATTCCCACGCCCCTGCTTTTGGTTTGTGCCAAATCTGTAATCAGCAGTTTTGCCCAAATATAATGCTTGTATGTACACTGGATGAAGCAGCTGTTCCTCCTATGTCATAGATTGGGGGATAAAATGGACACTTAGGTTTGTTTGAATTGTTTATATGTTTGAATTGAATATATGTTTAATTAGGTAAAGGTTTAAATTATGAAGTTATTGGATGTATTTTTCAATTTTTGAGGATAAAAATGTCCAGTTAAGAGCTCTGACAGACTTTGAAACTGTATTGTAAGTGCATGTAACTCATATCAAAGAATGTATACTCATATCAAAGTGAATGTAACTCGTATCAAAGACTACTGAAGTGAGAAATAGTGAACAATTGAATTATTAAATGGGCCAAGAGGCAAGATAGTGTATTTTGTTCAGTTGGAGGATGTATGGAGTCATAGCAACAGTTTCTCACGTTCTTTTTGGAGAAAGAGTATGTATAAAAATAATGACTAGATGGTATGGAAGCACCACAAGACACATACATATTATAGTCTTAATTGTTGGAACGTTTTTAAAGGAATCACTCACTGTCTTCTATATGTACAATTCTTTCCCAGTGCACTTGCTTTTTGCATAAATATCAAATAAATTAATCTTATTACTCAATTTAGATCTGAAATACTGTATTTCTTTTATACAAAGGTTGGATCCAAAGGTGCGTTAGCCAGCAGGATGAGAGTTGCATTTATGGAAGGCAGTATTTTTTTGCCAATTCTCACTCCCATCACCAGTCTCCTGGTTGCTCTCTATGCTGTTGCTGAGGGTGACCTCTAGGGTCAGAATATCAGGGGCTCCACAGGTTTAAAGTATCTGAAGCTTGAAAGTATGGAAACCAAAACTTCTTATATATGCCAGTATAGCTAAACTCATAAGTATGTATTAAGGAAAAAAATAATTTAATAAGATGGTGGCTCTCCTTTAATAGCTACCAGAATAGTAAAATACTCACTGCATCAAATACACTAAAATTTAAACACACATACATGGATTAATGTGTTCTATAGATTCTGTAGGTTATTTAAAAAAAAAAAATCAAAACAGTTGGGGAAAAAGACCCTGGCTAGGATCCAGTGAACTATGAATAGAATGAATGAGTCTACATTTTTCCTGCATCACCCAAAAAGCTGCTTCTCTAGAGTTGTAGGTCTATGAACAGCATACAGTGAGGCATGGGGAGCTGGTAGAAATCTACTCCTCCCTCCACTTCAGTGGGAAGGTAACAGTGTTCCATGTGCCTCGGCGTTTAGTCTTTGGACAGTGGCTTGGAAACGGAGATGAGCACCGCCCCCTAAAGTCAGATTCGACTGGCTTTCGAGCAAGGGAAACCTTTACCTTTTTATAGTTAATATTAGGGGCCACGGTGGCTCAGAGGTTAAGACACTGAGCTGCAGACCGGAATTTGACTGGCTTTCGAGCAAGGGAAACCTCTGTTTGTGACATTTGAATGCAGCCCTTGTTATGAAATGTGATTTCATAATGTGATCTATTTTTACAGCTAAAATCTCTGGGTTACCTGTGTGGTCTTGTGTCAGAAAATGGGCCCAATTCAGAAGATCTTAATAGAACAGTTGATCTTCTAGCAGGACTTGGAGCTGAACGCCCTGAAACAGGTACCTCTGACAGCTTTTATCAAATTATTTAAATGTAACTGCTTTCACAGCAAGTTTGGTATTGAGAGAGAGCTGTATTACCCATCAAGCATGTAAAGGACAGTCCCAGGTTGTCTATTTCTCAAAGCTAACCCATGCTTAAGGATAATTTCCTACTGCAAACGTAGTACAAATAGGTGACTGATATTTCCATCTTGTCCCTCATGCATTTAATTGGGCCATTGTTTGGCATAGTATGATAGTAGTTTGTTCTTATGTTCTGTTACATGAGTGCTGTGTTTACTGCAGTGGAAAAGTATTGCAGAGCTGTAGTCACATAATTTATGGATGCTGGGAATTTAGGGTTTCAACATGCATAGCTTAGTATAGCTTTAGAAGTTTAATAGGCAGGCTCTAAGTAAGTTCTGCAAAAAAATAAATAATGGCCCCAGTCACACGGAGCATTAGGCATGCTAGAGAGACGGAAGATAGGCGGATTTTCCGGGTGCGATCTCACCACCACATCTGGGAAGCGTAGAGCTCCTGTGGCTCACCCGAGGCTTCACTCCGAAGATGCGCTGTAAAAAACTAGTACCTCCGAGGTACTAGTTTCCGGAAACCGCGGGGCAAGGGCGGGCGTCAGATCACGTTTCTGGTGTTAGCTCGTGGCATCTGGCACCCGCCCATGTCCCGTTGCGAAAAGTTTTTTTTTTGGTCAAGTCTCCACGGGTGCGCACAAGCACCCAATGGCGCATGCGAACACTTGGGTAAAAAAAAACAACACAACCCCCGCGGCGCCACTTCTTTGCCGCGCCGCAGGAGTGAGGTATGATCGGCACCTCCCCCCAACCACGGGACGTTGGTGGGACGTCGGGTGGGACGTTTGATCCGGCTGCCTTGCGGTAGTTCGCTCCGGGGCAACCCCCCCCCCCCCCCCCCCCGCGATATTCAGCCCGTGTGACCGGGGCCAAAGAGACTTTTCTAGGAGCTGACTGTGAGGAACCTCAGCATTTCAGTGAGAGGTTCCCATGTGCATTCCAGTCTCTACTCTTCCCATCAAAGTAAGAAAAGTGAAAAAGGCTGAAAGTAAGGCAGAGGGAGAGAGAAATAGGAAACAAAATAGTGAAGGAGAAAAGGGTTTCCATATAAGGAGGACGTATAGAATAATGAGACAGTGTTCTGGAAAATGAAAGAATAGTAAATTGGTGAAAGGCTATGATAAATAGGAAAAATGCATAGAAAAAATAATGATGACAGGACTGGAAGGGTGTGAGAATAGAAAGAGGAGAAGAAAAGTAAACCAGAGAGAGAATTAAATTTTGAAGGAATTTGTTAGAAGCCACAAATTTGGGGATTGGATTATTAATCAAGCCGTTATTGCCTCTGAGTCTTGTGGCAAGTCCAGAGAACTTGGAGGAGAGTGTACCCTCATGCTGGACTTTTATTTATTTATTCGATTTATACCCTGCCCTCCCCACCAAAGCAGAAGATAGTGTCTTGCTCTGGGGTATCAAAAATAAGGTCTGGGGGCCAGAACCGGCCCATGCAGGGTTGTAATGCACCCTGCAAGCAACTGGTGCAAGGGATGGAACAAGACACTGCTCGGAGGGGGGGGGGCAGAACCACTTCAGTTGTGGCTTCAGCACGGCGGGACAACCTCGTCTGCAGCAGTCAAGCAGAACCCCTTCAGTTCAAGGACTGGTAAGTTGGGAGCCACTGCAGCCACATTCATACCTCTCCACTCAGCCTGCAGCTCAGGGATCAGTGTTTGCACATGGGGAGCAGACAATCCTCTGTTGGGGCATGGGAACATCTGCCCAGCGCTGCACTGCTGGCTCTCCGGTCTGCCCATGTGGGTTTTCCTATGCACCCCACTCCCAACCCATGGAGCCTTGCAGTGAGGACACACCAACTCAGAGCTTACCAGCTGCTGTCCTTTATAGAGTTTATATCTCCGGTACCCAGCATTATGTTTTACGGTGCACATGGCCCGGCCATACAAAGTCACATTTATGTCAGATCCGGCCCTCATAACAAATGAGTTTGACACCTCTGGTCTTGCTGCTGGTGCCTTATGGAAGGGCTAGAAACCTGTTCTCCGTTCTATGCCCCCAAATTCTTCTGTGCAGGCAGCAGAGATAGGCAGACTGTTATGGGGTTTTTTTTCTGAACACACCAGCTATCGCCACTAGGGGTGTGCAATTTCTTCCCCTCAGTATTTTTCAGTTCGGGTCTATTGGACCTGGGGGGAAAAACACGGGATTCCCCCCCAAAAAACCCAGATCCCAATACCGGTAAAGAATATGGATCTGGGATTTTTTTGAAATCCTGAATTTTTTTCAAAATTTTTCTAAATTTCTAAAAAAATACCGTGGGGGGGGGGGGGGGGAGGGCCCGTGGGGGGGGGGGGGGAGCAGCAGCGAAGCCACAAAAACCAGCTGAAAGATGGCTCAGATGGGACTCTTTTAGGCGGTCCCTTTAAACCAGACTGCCCAAAAGAGCTTGAAAAGGAGCTGAACTGGGGGGAGGGCTGGTACTCTGCTGGGCAGCCCTAAAGGAGCCTGCCAAGGAGCCGATCCTGCAGGGAAAACTCTCACCACAGGCTGGGCTGGGGCTCTGCTGGGCAGTACCGTTTAAACCGGACTGCCCAATGGACCCCACCAAGGAGTTGATCCTGCAAGGAGAACGCTCCCCGCAGACTGAGCTGGGCTCTGCTGGGCAGCCTGGTTTAAACTGTACTGCCCAACAGAGCCCACAAAGCAGCTGATCCTACGGGGAGAGTTCTCCCCACAGGCTCCACTGGAGCTCTCTTTGGCAGTTCGGTTGAACAGCCCAAAAGAGCCTCAGCTGAGCTGGCGTGGAAATCTATTTTGTGAGGTTTCTTCTTCAGTCCCTTTAAGCACCCCATTTAAAGGGACTGCAGAAGAAAGCCCAAAAAAGAAGAAGAAGCTGAATGGCAGGAGCAATCTGCCACAGCCCTCAGCTGTTGTTTGGGTTTTCCAGTAATTCCTGAGTATACCCAGGATTTTTTCAGGGATTTTTTCCGGTTCTCCTGAAAAATCCCAGATTCATTTGGGATGCCAAAATATATCCCAAAAATAGATTCTGGTAGACCCAAATGCAGACCCCTGATTGCCATCTGAAATGAGAGCGTGAAAGCATCATTGTTCTGTTTTCAAAAAAGAGAATAATCTAGATGTAGAGTAGAGGTGTAGAAGTAGCAAGAAAGATGTAAATGAGGCAGGGATCTTCCATACTTGCAGTGTACACGGGAAGAGAGAGATTTGCTTCCTTCCATCTTAGGTAACCAGGCCCAGTGTATAGGTGCCTCTTCCTGCTCATGTGCTGGGATTTTTGTGTCTCTACTTACAGGCAGTATACTTGGCTTGTGTAATGCAAGTGAAATTTTCACTGGGTCAGATATTCTGATTACAAAATTTGTCATATCACACTAGATTTTTTCCAAACTGACATAACATTAATGCAAGACACCTCTTACATCTAGTGCAGTAAAACCAGTTGTGTTTTTCTGGTCAAATGTATGTTGCCTTTACAAGCAGTAATCTCTTATAATATAGCATATCCTGTTTTGTTTTTGAAGCCAATACAGCACAGTCTCCTTATAAGAAACTGAAAGAGGCCTTATCATCTGTAGAAGCTTTTGAAAAGCACTATTTAGTAAGTGTGCCTTATGAATATTCTATGTATACAAGCTGAATAAGAGACAAGTATAGCAGTGAATTTATAATAGACATTTGTGTGGGATATATTTGTTGGACTGATGGCAGCACTTTCAACATAATACTAGGTACTAGACTTATGGACTGTTTTAAGAAATACCAAATTATCGATGTGGTTCACTTTCAATATATTGAATAAAACAAACATAATTTTGGTAATGGATAATTAAAATTAGTAGCAGCTAAAGATATCTGCAGCAGTCTTTCAGTGCTAGCAAACTGTGGGAATAGCTTTAATTTTGTTCTGTTAATTTTTTAAAATCTTTATTTTTAAGGCACTTTACAGAGAAATATCAAACAGGTTCCTACATCAACTCTAAATATCAATAGTGGCTAGACACAAAAAGAGGGAGGCAAGGTTAACAATTGAGAGAGGGGAAAATGGGAGAAGGTTGGTTAGTTTTGTGTTTTCCTTCCTAGAATCGTGTATGTGTTAAACTTCTATTATTCAACATACTTCTATCCTTGCTAACTGAAAAAGTCAAGAACCTGTCTATTAAAATGAGTTATATCCCACCTTTCAGCCTTAGCTTGCAAGGCAGTTTTACAAAACATTTGCCTGATTTTAAGTCAAAATTTCACATAAGAGCTAATGTGGTATAGTGGTTAGAGTGTCATCAGACTAGGATCTGGGAGCTGGAATCCCCGCTCTGCCATGGAACCGTGCTGGGTGACCCTGGGCCAGTCACACTTTGTCTAACGTGTCTCACTGAGTTGTTGTGAAAATAAAATGGAAGAGATGAGAATTATGTCAGCTGCTTTAGGTGCGGGGTGGTGCTGGAATGAATTAAGTAGATTAATAATAACAATTTCCTTAAGTGACAAAGAAGTAATGAAACTTTGGCCCTTTATATGCATATTAACCAAAAATTTGTGGAGCATGTGTTTCTGAATACATTTTAGTTAAACATGAAGTACACTGTTGCAGCAGTTTTCAGCCGTTCTGGAGACTGCTGAACAGCAAGCATGTGATAGGAACTTACATCATCAGTCATGCACCTGGAAGAAAAGGAACAAAGTAGTGGCATCATTAGTCAAGGCTAGGTCTATGGGCAATGGGTTAAGAGAGGCAGGGAAAGGAAACACAAGCTGAGCAACAGAAGATGTACCATAGTAAGGTACAACTCAAGGGTCAGAACTGTATGGAATCCTCTCCACTGCTGAGTGACCTCTCCTGCTGTGTGCAGAGGAAGGAGGCATGGTGCCCTTGCACGCTGTGCATGCGTTCTTGCACCCAGATATTTCCAAAAGGAAACACAATATACTGGTGGCTCTATAGAGGATCATGACCTGGTAGGTGGGAGTCTGTGATCCCTTTGAGGGTCCCAGGCCTTGGGATGAGGACTGCTCTATTAGATTCTGGAGCAAAGATCCATTGTAGTACATTTTTTCTAAAAACCTTTTATTTTCTCTTATATAGGATCTTTCCCATGCCACCATTGAAATGTACACAAACATTGGAAGAATCCGCTCAGCCAAGCTTGTTGGAAAGGATCTGGCAGAGTTTTATATGTAAAGAAATCTTTAAATTATATGCCACTTATTTTTAAGTTTTTAAAGGACTTTTCAATCTAATTAAAGCTTACATTGTTAATGGTTTGTTCTTTAAAATGTATTCTGAAAGGGACATCTCTGAGAACACTAAAAGGCAACTTAGGCATGTGTTCTGCCAAGTAATGACAAACCAGACTTTGTCCCTAGGTTAAGTAGTCAGCTTCTCCATGCTACAGCAATAGACACTTGCTCAGAATAGTTAGTTAGCTATACTAATGTTTACACCCCCAAGTTCCGTTTCCTTTCCTTTTGCAGTGATATGGAATCTCAGTCAAGGAAAGGAGTGTTCTGTGGTTCAGAAATGCATAACAAGCAGTACAAACATTAATTTGCATAGGAAGAAATCTGTGGTGCAGGGGAAATAAGGTTTTCTGGGAGTTATATTATGACCGATATAACTGTTTATGGACTAAAAAGCTTTCAGTTGGCCCCATGTACATTGACTGTTGCAGTACTAAGTCACTCTTTGCCTGTTTTGTTAGTCTTACCTATTTGTAACAGGGACAGTTTAAGTATTACTTCACTGTTGTTTCTTTCTTCCCCCACTTGCGACTCTTCCAAAGGAAGAAGAGGAGTCCCCAAAAGGCTGAAGTGTATCTTCAAGGAGCATTAAAGACTTACCTTGCCGAGGGGTGGGCATTGCTTATTACGCATACACGGAAACAACTAGCAGAATGTCAGAAACACCTTGGACAAACTGAAAAGTATCCTTCAAAAGAAGAAAATTGAGGGTTGATTTATTATGTGGTGTTCAGGTAGAGCCAGCCATAAAATGGTGGCTTTTATAAAAATTACAGCATTGCAGAGCAGGTCTTCAGTGTGGTGCTTGGTAAAGAAAAGTTTCCTCTGATGTTTTCCTGAAGCAAGCCACTATAGCGACCCCAGATTTTAACTTGCCCTGGGGTAGCTGTATTGGCTTGTTTCAGGTAAACACCATAGGAAAGCTTTCCTTACCCAAGCATCACACTGACGACCTGCTCTGCAATGCTGTAATTTTTGTATCTCATAGAGTGGGAAGGGGCCTTACGGGCCATGAAGTCCAACTTTTTGTTCAGTGCAGGCTGCAGCATCCCCTCCCCATAGATGGCTGGTCCAGCCTTTGCTTAAATACTTCCAGCAAAAGAGAGCCTGCCACCCCACTGAGTATTCAGTTCTGTTGCCAAACCATTCTTACCATTAAGAAGTTTCTTTGCTCTTCTTCTACACAACAGTCCTTCGGGTTTGTCCTGCTGGCTTGTGTTCAGCTTGTGATCAGTTTCAACCCCCCAAATCCTTTTCACTTGTGCTGTGAACCTGTGGTAGCTCTTTAAAAAAAAAACCAATTACTGGTTCTGTGGGAACATGGTACATCTTAGTTTTCGTGATGACCAGGCAACATGTTTTCCTCCACCAAAGTTGTCAGTTATACTGGAATGTGCTCCAGTTACCTCAGCAGCAACACTATTGCTTGTGCTACTCTGTGCAGCTCATAGTGGTTTCTTTCGAGAGCTTCAGTGTGTGCAGTCTCAACTGCTGTGGAGGGACGGGCGTGATCAGTGGTGGCTGTGAAATTTCAGGCCAGTCTAAACTAGTGGTTAACATCATATGGGAAATGGCACTGTACAAGATACAGAGATCCACTTCTGGAATGCTGACCTTGTTCTTCTATATGCTGACCCTATTGGAGGATCTTGCTGGCTTGCATTAAAAGGGCAGAAAAGCAGACTGTTGCCATGGCAGGCTCCCTAGCACAGAAGTGCCTTCAGTTTTTGTATGTTGTCCGCTTTCTTTGTCCTTAAAGAATCTGAAGACCCTTTTTCGTGGTCATTAGTTTTAAGAAGTTCTCGTATTGCAGTCTTGTACCTTTTCGCTCTTCTGGAGCAAGTGTTCTCCTGGCAGCACCCAAGTGTGAACCTGTCTAGTCATTTTCAGAGAATAGCCATGTGGGTCTGCAGTAGAAGAGTTAGATTTTAGTCCAGGAGCACCCTAGAGACCAGCAAGCGTTTCAGAGGATGAGCTTTTGAGAGTCAAAGCTCCCTTTGTCAGATCTCCCTTCCTAGTTGTGTCTGATGAAGGGAGCCTTGTCTCTTGAAAACTTACAGTCTGAAACTCTTGTTGGTCTGTAAGGTGCTATCTAGTCATTTGGTGCCTCTTATACAGTGTATCTTCAACTTTAAAGAGCTGTCAAAAGAAGGATCCAAGATTAGAGGTCCTGTGATTTAACATACACCTATGGAGCTGGCTAAATAATGATTGCATCCTCATGTTGACAGATAACTTTATTGCTTCAGCTCAGCCATAGTAATAAAACAAAAAAAAGAAGGAAAACACAATAATAATACCAAATTGTAATGTCAATTCAAACTATCACATAAATTAATCAGTAAAACAATAATACAGATTAACATATCCCCGTTAATAACTCTAAATCCATAGAATCCACAAAATCATATGTAACAATATAATAAATTTTACCAAAAGCATCTTATTAAATAAATTTATTTATAAACATAGTTTACTTCAGTAATCTTAACTGTATCTTGGTAACTGATGCTACAAACTTTGCCATTTGCATTGTGATTCATCTATCCTTATCTGCCAGTAACACAACTAATTAAATTTGCTCTGAACTCCCTGGCAAACACTGTAAAATATTTCTAAGGTACTTCTCCGAACAGTTACAAATCTTGGGCATCGAAACATAGCATGAGGCAGATCTTCAATGGATTTGTAGTCATAGGAGCACACTCCATCATCAAATGGGATCTTATTATAACAGCCCTTCACTACTGCCAATTGTAACCCAAGCCCCCTAGTAAATGCCTCTATATTCTACAATCATTAGGTCATCAGGGTAAATCAGGTGAGCTATAGGAAAAGATATAAGTTTATATAAAGTGGCTGAACTCATGGTACTAAATAACCCATGATCTACTTGTGAACATTATGTCAATTAATCTTTATTTAATTAAGCGTGATCAGAACTCCTTAAATACTCTTCAGATAATCCTAGTTTAGCCAGTAAAGACAGTATATGTGATCTCCATGATATATCTTTCCTCTCTTCATACACCAATATTATTAGAAGTGGTACTTGGGAGAAAAAAGATCTTCAATCAGAAATATATTGCAAATTTATGAACTATTATTGATATTGGTGGCAAAGTAAATTCTGATCTCATCCATAACTGATTATCATCATCCTGATGTTACTTCTCTTGGTTTCCTAAAGGCTGTTGGCATGGTGATCACTGGTGCTAGTTCCTTGGACTTTTAGTTCAGTGAATACTTGGGAAATGGCAACATTAGGGGACAGACCAGTGGGGAAGAGAAGTTGGTGTGTCTTTTCTTCTCCTTTGTGGTTGTGGTTAACTATTGCTGTTTTTGGAATTGCTGTTTGCCAGTTGGTGGAGATAGATGTAGTATTAAATATTACTACTGTACAGGTAATTTTATAGGTTGTTTTGGCATTATTGATTTCATGTTATTTAAATTTTTGTCCCACGTTTTGACTTAAATCCCTCAGAATAAAACAATCACAGTATAATAATCAAAATTAACACATTGAGCCAATTTTATAAAAGTTTGATGAAAAAAGTTTCACGTAAATATTTATAAATAGAATATTCATTTTGTCTATACATCACCATTTCTTTTGCTATGCCTCAACTTTGTGCCAGCTATCTCCAAACAAGCAGCCTGCTAGCTGCTGATACTAACTTGACAGAAGAAGAGCGCAAACACTTTTGCCAAGAGATCTTAAATTTTGCCAAACAGCCCTCAGATGGCAAAGGTAAGACTTCTGAAAAAGACTAGTTATAAAACTTCTGCACTTACATAGGATGGCCTTCTGAAGCAAGACTTGGGTTCCCTAGTGTGTCAACGCTTCACCTTTTTATTAGTAACTTTCTACATGCGTTTGCAGTTTTCTTTTTAATATTTCCTTAGTTATAATATACTGCGCTCCTTCCGTCAGGTATCTTTTTTGATGAGTAGCAGTTTCAGGAAGTTAGAGTGTTGCATGGCATCCTGGCTCAAAGTGTAGAGGGAGACGGAGCTTAATGAATCATGGCCAAATCATACCTCCTTGATACCCTTCTAAAAACAGTAGCTAAAGAGGCTGTCACACAAGATAGGGAGACCTGCCTTCCCCCTATAATTTCAGTACAAGTTCTGGTTTTAACCAGTGTGTATTCCTGCTATGATTCTGCAGGCAAACAGAAAACTTGCATAATGTGGCTGTCATATTCAGTTTCTCGGATTTCAGCTTTTTTTTTTATCAAACAAGTTTCTGGCCTTTGTGATAGTAAAGATATGCTTGGGAACATGTGAGGAGTGTCTGCTGGAGCTGAAGGAATGGTTTTAACATATTTTCCAGTGGCTGGGGGTGGGTTTGGTGGGGCATGGGCTTCAGTGCTTTACATCGTTCCTTATCACTCCATAGCAATCAAAAGCAAGAAAAATTCAATTATACTTTGTATAAACTATGCAGGTTACAGAACTGGGCTTTTCTTGGCACAGAATTTTAATTCTCTTGGTGCTCAGCCTCCAGTTAATATGCATACTGCAGTCTGTAGAGGGAAAAGGAATGTAATTAAGGGGAGGACCCAAACATCCATATTATAGAAGCCCAACAATTTGCACTAGCCTTTGCAGCAGACGAGACAATGCCTGCAGAGTCTATAATGGGGAGGGTCCATGACTCTGTACTAGAGCATCTGCTTTGCCTACAGAAGGAACCAGGTTCAGTCTCCAGTTAAGAGGATCAGGTAATAGATAAATACCTCTAAGACCCTAGAAAGCCTTGCCAGCCAGAATCTACAATACTAGCTATGAAGAACCAGTGGTCTGACCAAGTATAAGGCAGGTTTCATGTGTTGTAAATCTAGATTCTTCCAGATAAATATTCTGACCTTGGTTAGCCCTTTCCTTCAGAGAAGAGAAGACCTTTACCCTTCTGTTATGGCTACTGGTGGATGGAAGCATGACTCTGGTTAAGCTGAAATACCTAGTATTCAATTTTGTCTCCATTTCAGGTCAGAAAGTGATATTGTCCATGCATCCCTTCGCACAGTTGAAGAATTTACATTTTGATCCTCCTAATGCTGTGGTCCATGTGGGTGGAATGTTGTCAATTGAACTGACATTGGTTAACCAAATGCCCATCACGGTCAACATTGATCAGATTGCCATCAATGTCCATTTTAGCATTGAAAAAAATAGCTACCGGAAAACCGCTGAATGGCTCACAAAACACAAGATTTCCAATGGTATTATCAGCTTTCCAAATGAGGTTGTAGGTTTCTCTCTCTCAAGGAGTAGCTTGCCGATGCTGGAGTTGTATGAAATGTATGAAAGGAGTCCCTCGGATAATTCTTTGAACACGACAGGCATCATCTGCAAAAATGTGCACATGCTGTTGCGGCGGCAGGAGAGCAGTTCTTCTCTGGAAGTACCAACAGGGCTGTCTCTTGAAGATGGTGCCCATGTGTTAAAGTGTAGCAACATGATACTGGAACCAGGGGTCAATAAAATAACTTTCAAAACTCAGGTATGTTTTTCTAGAAGGCAGTATTGCTGTCCTGCTACAATTTTACAACTTGGCTGATTCTACATTCATCCCTCTTGGTTTATCTGGATGGCTGGCAGATTCTGTGATGTAATTCTAGGAAGCCAGGATGACACTCAACAAAATTATTTAAATTATTATTTTTAGTTCTTACTCCTCTGAAGTTTAAATGTTTTGCTAATAGCTAGAATTAAAATATGTATGCCATCTTTTTTCCAACTGTTGTATTCATTGTGAAAAAGGAAACAGAAAAGGTAAGGTTGTTTTGGTTTTGATCAAACTTGCTGAGAACTAGTTTTAAGCTGTTTAAAGTGGTGAAGTGTCACTTACAATTTTGTCACCAATTGCAGGTGATAAGTTCCACACATTTTGTCTTTGTAATTTTGTTATAGTGTATAGGATCTAAAAAGATTTATCTAAAATATGCCATGGTGCTTTAAAAAATCCTATGCTCTTAAGCATTGCTCTTTTTTTTACAGTTTTTGATGCTTCAGTCCATGCGTACTTGTTTACTTCTGATACCAGCTTTCCGCTAAATAGAGACCTGAGGCATCAAAATACAACCATGCATTTTTTTAAAAAAATATTTACTGTATTTATAGCCTGCCTTGCTTGCTGAGACTCCAGGTGGATTACAAAACATTTTAAAAGTTCAGGGACCAAAGTGCAGCATGGGGCTATTCCAACATGTGGCCAAGCAGTGGACTTCACAACCCCACCTTGCAGAATGGCCTGCCTGAGGAGGTCACACTTCTGGCTTTCTGCAAACTGTGCAAAACTGGATTATTCAGGAGGGCTTTTCTACTCAGGCTGTAGGGAAGCACTGTACAAAAGGCTTCAGAAAGTAACTTGTTGGATCCCATTGTGTGATTTTACATCGTTTTAGTGAGTCATGTTAACACTGATGCTGTGCTTCAGTTTTGTTGTTGGACTTCTGATTGGTTCTGCAACCCAAATCATTTCATTGTTTACTGAATGTCCCATCTTATTGATTGTATTGACTTACTCTGTGTAATCCGCCCTGAATACCAGTAAGAAAGGCGGACTATAAATAATGTAAAGAAATAATATTTACATGTGAAGTGGACATGTGCAATGAGAGAACAGTTTGGACCACTGAGACATTTCTGATCCTGAGAGGGATAGAAGGATTGTACAAAAATGGGCCAATTGTATATACATTTGTAGATGTGAATGCCTAGCTTATTTTTTATTTTGCTGTTTATTCCCTGCCCTTCTTTTTGCTGCCAAGGCAGGGTACACAGTATAAACATAACGTTAAAATTAACATGTTCTCATGTTGCTACAGCTATGATTCAATAGCAGGGGCCTCATTCTCTCTCCCTCTCCAGCAGAATAGCTAACCACTGATGGATTCTGAGAGGAAGGGGCTAAGTGACAGGTGGGCCAGGTTAGAAGCCCCTCTCTGCTGCCCATTCCCAGGATAATTTTCTTGTGGAGGCAGGTGAGAGTGTTTCGAGACCTGAATTAACACTCCTCCATACACAGGACTTTTACTTCTGGGTTGAATGTGTTAGTTCATTCTTAGAAATGTATGTACAGAGCGCACTTTGTTATTATTTCTGTTATTTAATGCAGTGTTTGCTTCATTATTTAATGCAGTGTTTGCTTCATGTGTGTCTCATGACATTATGCAACCGTTTTGAAATAGAGAGTTTGTAAAGATGTTCAAGGAGCTTCAGTGGTTATAGTTTGAAAGCAACCGTACTGCTGTCAATTTCAGTGTAGATATTTTGTGGTGGTGTTGCATATTCACATCTTGGATTTTTTTAAAAAGTATAGTAATAAATTGTATGTTAAATGTGTACAATACTTAAAAGGAGAGAGAGTGACCATCTAAGATGATACCTTAGCAAAATGACATTGAGAAAATGTTTGTGAGAAAGTGATATTTATGGATCAATTCAAATATATCAGTATGTGACATACCACATTTCACCTCTTAATGACTTGAGTTTTCATACATTCAATCCTTTTTAGTATGGTAGACTAGGAGATCATTCTGTTTTTGTCCCTCACGGAGCTTAACATTTGCTCTTTTAAATAAAATGATTAGGCACATAGTGTGTATGTGTGCATATATAGTGTATGTATAAAAATATAAATAAATAAAACAAATCTGACTAGTACAAAACATGTCCCAAACTAGGTCCACTTGGTTGCCCTGATGGTATCCTTTGAGCCATCTTCTAGGTAGTAAATGGGAAAGGAACTGAAAGTAAACAGAGTCTGCCTAAGGCTACCCTCATTTAAAATGCTTCTTCTTTAACCCAGTGTTACCTTGCACATGATATATTAGTGTACAGAGTTTTACTCCTTGAATGCTGTTGATTACAAACTTATTGAGACCAACGAATTATTTCTCCTTCCCTAGAGACATGGGTCAGAACATTTTCCAGTGCTTTATTTTTCAGTTAGAAAATGTTCCATTTCTAAAAGTTTATCGTTTCACAGGTCATAAGATCAGCATGAGGTGCTTTTAAAAACAGGGTCAGAGATGCTAAATGAATCACACTCTTTTTAGGACATAAGATAACTTTCTGGTTCTCATCATGCCAGTAAACCATCATCACTGTTCTTGTCCTTAGTTATGGGCCATAATACACTAGAACTATTATCTGCGCAAGCATTGTTGAGTGCAGATTTTTGTTCTGTATCATTTTTGTTTCATCTTACCAGGAAGTTCTGAATGTTCTGTGCCTGCTGACTGACGTCAGTGCTGGCAAAATGAATTGCAATTGTATTTGTGTGGTGGTTATGGAAAAATATTTAGTGGAAATACATTTGAATCATTGTTCTTACATTTTGTGGTCATGCACAAGACTTTCCTTTATTTGTGATTCCTGTCTGCAACCAGGAGGTGCCTAAACAACACCACTAAAATGACTAAATAGTGCTCCACTGAATATATTTGTTTATACACTGCTCTTCTTCTCAATGGAGACCCCAAGAGGCTCACATCATTTCCCCCCTTCCTTTGTATTTTTCTCACAACAACCCTGCAAGGTAGGTTATGCTGAGAGTGAGACTGGGTGAAGATAACCCAGCAAGTTTCTGTGGCGGAGTGGGGGATTTGAACCAGGGTCTCCCAGGTCCTATTCTGTCACTTTTAACCACTCTACTAACCATTAATGCTAAAAGATATATACCTTGATATAATACCTAAGCATTGCTATAAAAACTCTGCTATTTTAGGAACATGAGCCAAACAAGCAATCTCGTAACAGCATCCTTGGAAACCATTGCTGCTTGGAAAAATCAATGAATCTGTATCACAAAACAGACTTGATTGCTTGCATATTTATTAGTCCAGGGGTATCAAACATAAGGTCCGAGGGCCAGAACCAGCCTACCCAAGGAAGGCTCTTATCTGACCCACGAGCAACTGGTGCAAGGGAGGGAACAGGAGCCTGCTTGGGGGGAGCAAGTGGGCAGAGCTTCTCCCAATTGTGGCTTCAGCATGGCAGAACTTGCCTACAGCAGTCAAGTAAAACCCCTTTGCTTCAGTGGCAGCCTCACTATTAAATTGGGAGCCACTGCAGCCGCATTCATACTGGCTCAGGGTTCCAAGGTGCAATTGTACACCTCTCTGCTCAGTCTGCAGCTCTAGGAATGCTGTCCCAGATGACCACAGGGATCAGTGGCTGCCCTTTGGCCCATTGGGGAGCATTCTTTGGCAGTTTCTTCCACACATCGGGGGCCTAGTCCTGCCACTGAGCATGCTGCTCCATGGCTGAGCCTCCCTCCTCCATGGACTGCCCAGCAGCCTTCAGCGGCCTTTGTGGGGAGCAGTGCTTGGGGCCTCTGTCACACGTGCTGCTCCCCCATCAGATGAACTTGTGGCCTTTGGTCTGGGGCAGCTGCCGCTACATGGGGGTGGTGTGGCTTGCCAACGGACTCTGGCTTGACCTCCCAACATTGCCCCACCATGGATCGCCTGGTGGCCTTGGTCAAAGGTGGCTACTGCTGCATGGGCATCTCCAACTTATCCGGCTTTGCTTGGCCTGGGCCTAAGACCTGGGTCTCGCCCCCCTGCTTCTGCAGGCCGGGGCGGGGTTGCTTCAACTTGTCTTCCCAGTCCCCTCCCATAGTGGTTTGGGGGCAGGGGGGTGCTTGCAACCCCAGCTGCTTCGTGTCTTTACCCTAGGGCCCGGCTTCACAGCATTGGCAGTGGGAGAGGGCTAGGGGAAGGGGTTTGCCTCCTTACAGGTAGCTTAGGGTCATCTGCCCGGCTCTGCACCACTGGCTCTCCAGCCTGCCCATGTGGGTTTTCCTCTGTGCCCCCCAGCCCAGCCCATGGGCCTTGCAGTGAGGACACGCTAACACAGAGCTTACCAGCTGCTGTCCTTTATAAAGTTTATATCTCTGGTACCTGGCATTACGTTTTATGGCACACGTGGCCTGGCCAGACAACGTCACATTTATGTCAGATCCGGTTCTAGTAACAAATGAGTTCAACATTTCTGTATTAGTCTGTTGGAATGAGCAATGTTTCCTGGTTTTATGAATCAAATTAGTAGTGTCTTCCCACTTTATAAGCAGTGGTTTTGGTTGCTAGGGGGAAATATACATTTTTTTGAAAAATCTTTTTTGCAGCTTGCTGGTTTTAATGTTGTTTGTACCATGCTTATTGCATGTGCAGCACTCCTCACTGTACGAGGACAACTCCCCCTAACATAGAGCCCAACATGGTCAAAGAATGACTGAAGTTGCTCTGACACTTCTCGTTCTGTGTGTAATAAAAAGAGGTATGCTAACAGCTACATGAGCAGCTGTGTCGCAGTGATCTGTGTGGCATGGCATCTGCACACTCAGATTTAGAACTGAAGAGTTGCTGATTTTTGTATGATGATGCTTAGTGAATATTATGAACTACTACTTTCTCCGCACAGGTACTCCAACAGCCTTCTGATAAACTAGCCTGTTGAAAAAATATTTTTTAAAAAATGTCTTACAGGGCAAGGAACCTGGGACATATACACTCAGGCAGTTATGCATTTCAGTGGGCAAAATGCAGTTTGCCCTTCCTCATATTTACCCAATTGTGCAGTATGATGTCTACTCTCAGGAGCCACAGCTAAAAGTGGAACCCTGCTCTGGTAGGTAAACTAATTAGAAACTGCACTAATTTATTTCTCTTGCTAGAAGTCCAAGATGGTTGCTACCTAGTTTGCAATGTGCTGAATAATTTTATGAATGTGGTCGTCAAGATCCATGGCTTGGATTCTGATATCCTTGAGTTTATTGAAGCTGATCTCTCTCTCTCGCCTCCCCTTTCTCAGGTCCCCGCTGAGACTCTTTCTGAGCAGTATGCCATGTAGTGCAGGGGGTTGCAATAAGGAGGGTGAATCAGGCAAAATTGTTTCCTCACTCTTCCAGGAATGGAGTAAACTTGGCTTGTGTGTGCAGGAAATATCTGCTTCTATATACTTTTTATCTGCTTCTGTATACTTTTTCCCTTGTGAGAATTTGGATCCATCCCCATATTACTAGCTGGTTACAAGTCATTTATACACACAGTGCTTTAAAATAACTGTTAGAGTATTGGCTATCAACTGGTGGAAACAATGCTGATGTGAAATAATCTGAAAAAATAGCTGTTAATGCCTTGGGCAATTAGAAGCATCTTTAGAGGCAAATGTACATGCTTTCACTTGGTGAGACCAAGGAGACTCTTTTAATACATCTTACTGGAAAGTAAATGGTACCACCATCCTTCTCTGATAACCATCTGACCATATCCTTGATGTGAAATGTAGAGGTGTGGTTTGCATTTCCTCCTCTTCCCTTTCTCAAATTTAGAAAGTTTGCTTGAACTGTGGCCTGTAGTGGAAGGAACTGGTCAACATTTATGTGAGAAAAGTTCTCAAAGAGAAGGGGTTTTTAAATGTCCCTTTCGGATTGTGTCACTTTAGTTGGGAGCTTATTGCAGAGCTGAATCCACTGGACTTCCATTCAGCTAGAAAGGCTGAAGTAACTGAAGTGTATTTGGCATAATGTTGTATCACTTTTAAACTGTAAAAATTTGACAAATGCGAACTGTATCAGAATGGGGTTGTCAGTTAATTCCTCAAAGCATATTCATACATTATTTATTGGCCTTATAAATTCATTGTAGGTGCCCAGGGCCAACAGTATTAAGTGTTTCTCTTTATCTCCTATTTTTAACAGACGTTCTTTTGGCTGGGATTCCTCAGAAGGTAAAATTTACGGTGACTACTGGCCATTACCCCATGAAGAACAGTGATGCCTTGCAGCTTAGTAATGCTGATGCTATGCCAATCCTGTACCATCCAGAGAGCAAAGCAGTGATTTATTCAAACACCAGGGGTATGCAGTTTTGGTACTATATTAATTAATGTTGGGGATTCTAGCAGGTGAAGTACAAAAATGCACCTAAGCACTGTAGTAATAATAGTTGTGACAGGAACATTTTGACAGTGACACACTGAAGCTTTAGCATACAAATCCATATACCAAAGCTTTTTGATGACAATGTAGGCCACAGCTGACAGAGGATTGTTAGAGGTTACTTCTCCATTGTCTTCCCTGCACACACTGTAGAAAACACTTGTGCAGGAATTAACTTTGAATGTAGTTTGGCGTCCTAACAATTCAAAGCACAGTTTGTTAGCTGTTATTTTTCTTTAAGTGGTTCTCCAGATGAGAGGATTTCTTTCTTCAGGCAGGAAGTGCTTAGCAAAGCTATTCTGTTAGCATCTTTCCACTGTGTATTTTGAACTCCTCTGAGTTTTTGGGGGTGCAGAGGAGGAGAGGACTGAGTGTGAGAGTTTTCAGTGGAGAAACTGCTTAAACTGTTTGTGTCCAAACCATCCTTTTGTTTTATGTCAGGGGAATTCAAAATCATGTTTAGCTGTAAGGAGTTCCTAATAGAAAGCCACTACAAACTGATGAGCTGTGCACTCAAAGTATTAGTGATTTGGCTATATTTGTATAATGATTCCATTCAGTGACCAGTTGTACCAAAGAAATACCATGCCATTGAGCATTTTAGAAGAGATAAAAATAACATTTACTTCATTTCTCTCCTGCATTCTACTTTGAATGTTCACACATCCCATGCAAAATACAACCTTTCAAATCTTTCTAGAAAAGATATCAGAAGCATCACTAATGATCCAGTCATCTGAGAAAATCACTAGCATCAGCTTGCCAATGGCTCCTGCTTATCATGTGATTGCCTTTGAGCTTGAAGTTCTGTACTTACCATCAACCCCAGTATGTATGGTGGAAAATGAAAACCTATCTGGTAAAGAGCTTCGGAGAAAAAGCAAAGATAAGGAGTCTTCTCACAATTGCATGGCTACAATTGACCAAAAAGTAAGCAAGTACGAATAGCAGGTTCTTAATTTTAAAACTTTGTCTCAAGTATACTAAAGATCAACTAAAACTGAAAAAAATGGCATATATATTTAACTATCCCTATTTATAAAAAAATTCTAATCCTCTGTGGAAGTTTGATGTCCTGTTCATGCTACAGTTAAAATATACTGGCAAATATGCCTTTGCCTTTTAAAAGCATTCTTTTTTGGTTTGTCAAATATTTATGAGTTCAGTACTTCCACACTATTTTGGACAATGTATAACTTTTAAACGAAAACTTTTTTGTTCAAATTAATTGCTTCCTGAACTAAAAGAAAGTCTTCAAAGGATTTACAAGCTGTATGATTTTACTCCTATTCCAGCCACCTTGTGTTAAAACACTACTTGTATGAATAGTATACTGAAACTGTAGACAGGCAGAAAAGATCTGATTTGTTGTTTTTTCCTGCCCAGCTTTGATAGACAATTTTTAGAAAATGTTGGAGCTGTATAAAATGGAGAAAAAAATTAAATGTTTAGTATTCCAGGTAAGAACTTTATTTTTTTCCTTGCAGGTAACCATTGATTGCCCATGGTCAATTTACTCTACAATTATTGCACTTACATTCAGTATACCCTTTAAGGCCAAATATTCCTTATTATCAGCAGGCAAAAGGTAAGATTATATTCCATCATAGACACATCTCAACACTACCTCAATTAATTTAATTTGGCTCCAAAGAGTTCAGAAAAATATCTCTGTAGCAAGATGTCTAATGTTCTCACTATCTTTTGGCTTTAATTGCATGGTGAAGTATCTTTTTTATTTGTTGCTTTTTAAAATAAGAATCTTAATATTTTAATTACACTCTGTGTAATTTTTTATTTTTATTGTTATTATTTTAAAATTTTATTAAAATAAATTAGACGTATGCAAAAAATAGATAATGTTCATAAGATACATTGCCAATCTAAACGGTTCCATTCTTTGTACACTCTTGACCATAAAAGTTCTACTCTATATGTATCGCTGTTTTTTCTAATAAGCGATTAATTTCACTAAAGTATAGATCTCCTTTATTTTCAACAATCAGTCATGTAGTTCAGGGATATTTTGTTTGCTTCCATTGCCTGGCAAAAACCAGTCATCAGTGTTCCCTCTAAGCTGAGTTAGTGTGAGCTAGCTCACAGTTTTTTAGTCTCTGGCTTACACAGGCCCCGGTCACACAGGCAGGAAACTGCGGGGGGGAAGTGTGGCTGTTTGCCCCGGGGCAAACTACCGCGCGGTTACTCGATCAGACCTCCCGTGGAGGTCCTGTGGAGGTACCGTGGAGGTTCCGTGGGAAGGGAGAGGTGCTGATCACAGGACAAGCCGGCGCGCAACGAAGAAGCGCGCGGCGCGGCAAACTGCTTGTCTTTTTTTCTGTACACGACAAATGCGCATGCTCCGTTGGGTGCGTGTGCGCATCCACAGAGACTTGGGGGGGGGGAAAACCTTTATTTGCAAGGGGACATGGGCGGGCGCCGGATGCCACTGGAAACGCGATCAGACGCCCGCCCTTGCCCCGCAGTTTCCGGAAACTAGTACCTCCGAGGTACTAGTTTTTTGCCACGCAGTTTCAGTGGGAAGCCTCGGTTGAGCCACGGGAGTGCTACGCTTCCCAGATGTGCTGGTGAGATCGCGCCCGGAAACTCCGCCTGTCTTCCGTCTCACTTGTGTGGCTACCGTTCCGTGTGACCGCAGCCAGAGTTTTGTCTTAGCTCAGGAAGGATGGCTCCAGAGCAAACTAATTGATGCAGTAGCCAAATCACTCACACACAACTTTAATGCCAGTAGCTCACAAAGTAGAATTTTTGCTCACAAGACTCCACAGCTTAGAGGGAACATTGGTCATCATATGTAAGGCAACCATTTGCTGATCTCTAGTGATATCTGGTAGGTAATTTAGCAGCACTGTCTCTGGTTTATAGGGGATTTGTTTTTCCAACCCAATTGATATAATTTTCACCACTTATTTCCAATAACTGGAGGCACATATGCATGCCCACCACATGTGAAAGAAATCTGCCTTCTCTTCTTTACAGAATCAGTATAAGCTGGTACCAGTCTTACCGATCTTTGCCAACCTTAAAGGAGTTAAATGTCACCTGTAAATCATTTTCAACAGTTTTCTCTAAATGAGAGGCAAACTGTAAAGGTAGTACCATGAGTGAAGATAAATGTCTATATTAAATTATCTAGGTTGTTACCTACTGCAAAAATTTTGATCAGGTTTGAGCATCATTTTAAACAAGAATACATTCTGGAAATAAAACTTTTACCATCTGCTAAAAGCAGTTCCTCAAACTCTGTTGTAGGTCTTAAAATAGCATTTTTTGGTATCAGTTCTCAAAGATAGCCTCTGACTTGGAGATATTCAAATACTGAAATACTAGGCTCTAAGATTACTTTGATAGCACTATACGGGATTACCCACAACCCATCATAGCGTGGATTAAATATTTTATGTAATAGTTCTTTGCAATATTGAAATACATATTTTGATATTTCCCCTTTGTTTTAGAAAATATATACAGGTTTGTGTTCAGAACATGTCCGAAATATGTTTTCATTTATCTGATAGTAATCTCAAAAGTTCTGAGAATTGTACAGATCTAATTCTGGATCCTCTAAATTCCAAAGCTGAGCAGGTAAAGTATCTCAAGTTTATTATTCCTAACTTATGTGAATTTTTTTTCTGTACTGCTTACTCGGAATCTGAGATTTAGAGGCATTAACCAATTGCTTGTGACAGAAGATTTGTGGCACGTTATGTAGTTTTTGTAAAAGAGCAAGCAGACAAAAACCTGTTCTGAAAAAACAGACAATTACTGTGACAGTTTCAAAAAGTGTTTGAAAAGAAACAGGGATCCCAAGGTGTTAAGGTTCTTTTGCTCGTGTGTGGAGGGGGTGCCAACTGGCATTTTGGGATCAAGGACTGTGGTGGGAATAATGGAGCTTGAAAAGTTCCCAGGAAAGGTTTCTGGAAAGTATTGAGGCTCAAAATAGCTGCATTATTTGAATTCTTCAGTGATTGGAAATGTATTGCTGGTTACTTGGACTGCCATTTTAGGGTAGGCAGTAGGCTGTTTGTCATCTATATTAAACTTCAATTAATAAAGAGAAAAGAAACTGGAAAGCAATGTGAGAGGAAGCTAGGTCTCAAATACTATATAGTTTCGTCCCCAAGTGTGGTCAAAAATACATCTGTAACTAAGACATGCTAATTAGAATTGAGAAAGAACCAGAAGCCATTTCTGTGGAAAGGTGGCTCATGGGGATCTTGGCTAATTGTATCTAGATAAACCCAAAGATTTATTTTGCCTCTATGCAGGGTGGTATTGCATGCATTTTAGATATAACTAGGAATTTGATGCAGTGCAGTACTAAGTTTTTATAATACTAAAAATAGAAATTAATGAAGTAGAATAACTTTTTTTAAAAGTTATATACCTTTATTATGCCTGCAGCTATGACATTTTGTTCTTTCTTAAAAAAATTACATTCCACCTTTTGCAGAGTGGCTAACCACGATTTTACCAATACATTTACAGTGTAGTTCTATGCAGATTTATTCCAAGCTTGTATATGACCACACTGCACAGTATGCAGTACAATAGCTGTGGATGAATTTCTCTCTCTTTCAGCGTATCTATAGTAAGCAAGCAGTATTTTTTGTATGGGAGCTGAAGTGGACAAAAGATCTTCCCTCGTCCTTGCAGTGCCAGTTTTCAGTGAACTTCCGTTCAGCTCCCTCTGAAGAGCACTCACTTTCTTTGAAGCCGTACATTTATGAATTCGAGTTGGAAAACTTTTTTGTAAGTTTTACCTACCTTACTAAAGCATAATGAGATAAGGGGGATGAACTGTCAAATTAGAAGCATACAAGTTTAGTAAAAGCATAGTAAAAATCTGCATAAGAGTCAGTACAGTATATCTTGCAGTACCAGAAGTCTAGGAGCGCTAGTTTGTGCTTTACATTTATCATCTAGAGGTTGAAACAGCCTCTGCTTGGCTAGTGAGCTGCACTGCTACAGCATCTAAAGGAGATTACCTAGTGGATTGTTGCAGTCATAGAGTTTCCATTTTGGTACTGAACTTCCTGATATTAGCTAGTGATGGTGTAGAGGCGCTTCCCATTTGAGGACAGGGACCTATGAGGAAGCTATTCTAGATACTTCAGCTATGGTTTGGAGCAATGCCACTTAGGAGACTGTTTCAAGCAGTATGTTGAACATAATATAGTTGGTAAATTATTTTAGGGGTCTACTATTTCAGCAAGGTAACCAGCTCCAGTAGTGTAAAACAGCCATTTCTGCGTACAGCATCAAATGTCAGGAAACAGCTGCATTACAAGTAGTGCCAGTGGTTTTTCCACTAATGAGTGCTTTAGCTTTTTCTTCTTTTGGGTTAAAGTGGATGTCTATTGAATTAGTGGTAGTAACTAAGGATGGGTATAAACCCCCCCAAAAAAGTGGTTTGGTTTGGTGTTCGGGTCGGCTCCCAAGCTGAACCCCTGAACCAACCCAAAAGAGCCCCACCCAAACCAAGCCAGTCCAGCGAATTTGGTTCCCCCTTTCTCACGGCCATGGCAAACCATGCTGGAAAGTACTTCCCATCCACTTTTCTCCCAATCGCAACTTACCGGGGCCAGGAGGGGGGGGGAATGCTCATAGGTTTTGCTTTTCCCCTCTTTGAAGGGTGGGGGGGAGCAAAACCAAGGGGTTTAATGGCTGGCCCCAGACAGCCGAACCAAACTTACCACAAGTCCAGTAAACGTTCAGAGAAGATGCCTTCCTCAAACATTGGTTCGCAAACTCCAAACTGGCCCAAGTTCTGGCCAAATTTTGGTTTATGAACCATTTTGAAGTCCATAGTTGTAACTTTTGTCTTATTTCTGGTTCAGTTTAATGGTCTGAGGTTACAGCATGAGTACATTGGGGTTTTTTCTGAAAGGGTTGTTGTCATAATATAGCTGTGAATGTAATGTTTAGGTCAGCCCTAAGCAAAACAAAGTGATGGCAAAAAATGGAAGTCAGCAAATCCCTTCTTAGTTCTTTTCTGCACTGTTTGCTTTGTAATATTGCCCTCCTTTACACTTGCTTGATTATTCAATCACTGGTGTGTTACTGATTTAGAAAATGTGTATGCCCTCCTCTCCAGACCTGTCCAAGGTAGCTCACAGCTCAAACAATAAAACAAAAAAGTCAAAAGAGTCAATAAAAATGTCAAGGCAATAAAATAAATACGAAAGTATCAATAAAAGCAAGAAGGGGCTTAAAACCAGATAAGTAAGAACGTAATCAAAAAAGCAAAAAGGGGCTTAAAACCAGATAAAGCGATCTTGAAATTATACTGATAACAGCTCTCAGGGTAGAAGACCACCTACATGGATTGAGAAATATTTATCATAATGCACATTCCTACAGCTTTGAAGCATTTTCTGGCTGCTTTAAATCAATGGTCTTCAGTCTGTGGGTCATGACTGTCAGGTGGGGCACATACAAGTCGCTGTGATGCCACCATTTCTGTGATTTTTGCTGGGGCTTCCTGCCAGTGCATATGTATAAAAAGCAAGGGCACCATATTTCCTACTTCTCCTTGAACTCAGGCTGGGAAGAACAGGAAGTTGAGGTGAGGTCATCACTTGGTGGTGGAGAGGATTCTTATTTATTTATTACATTTATACCCCGCCCTCCCAGCCATGGCCGGCTCAGGGCAGCTTACAACAGAATAAAACAGCGATAAATAGTATAACAATCATAAAACCATATAACAAGATGACATTAAAAGGTGCTAACACTAAAAGTAAAACCATTGAACAGATTGCATTTAAGATGGTGCTCAGCCTTCCGTGCCATCCTGGTGGTCGATCTCGATCTGATATTGTGCGGGTGGTTCAGGCTGCCTCAAAATTTCAGGGAACAGGGTATTCCTCCCAGGCGGCTCCTAATTGAACGCCTGGCGGAACAGCTCCATCTTGCAGGCCCTGCAGAACTGCATAAGGTCCCGCAGGGCCCTGATCTCCTCTGGGAGCTTGTTCACCAGAAAGGAGCCGCCACTGAGAAAGCCCTGGCCCTGGTTGAAGCTAGCCTGGCATCCTTTGGTCCGGGAAGGGTGAGTCGATGTTGAGACTCTGATCGCAGTGCTCTCTGGGGAACATGTGAGGAAAGGTGGTCCCTCAGGTATATAGGTCCCTGACCATAAAGGGCTTTAAAGGTAAGAACCAGCAACTTAAAGCGAATTCGGTATGCTACTGGTAGCCAGTGCAATGCCTTCAGCACAGGCTGAATGTGCTCCAATAGTGGGAGGCCCATCAACAGGCTGGCGGCAGCATTTTACACCAGCTATAGCTTTCGAATCTGCAATATGGGCAGCCCCATGTAGAGAGCATTACAATAGTCCAACCTCGAGGTGACCATTGCATGGATCCACATCACTGCAGTCGAGGAAGGGAACCAACTGCCTAATCAGCCAAAGATGGTAGAAGGCTGACTTGGCAGTGGCTGCTACCTGGGCCTCCATTGTTAAGGAGGCATCCAGGAGCACTCCCAAACTCCTAACCTCTGACGCTGGCACCAACAGAGCCCCACCGAAGGTTGAGAGTGGGAGCCGTACCCCTGATTTTTATCATGGACATTCAACCATTCTGGCCTCCCCTGTTTATGGCCCATTTCCCAGTGCCTGCTGTTTTAGATAATATTATTGGGCACTGGAGTTTTCTGGATTACCTGTATTCACCTGATATGAGGCATGGGGTTTGATGATACTGTCTATCATGCCATTGACTGTTTTATTGGTTTTACTGTTTTATGTTCAAGGTCACTTAACCATCCCTGCAAAAACTCTCCTGCATAAGCTTTCCTTGCCTTCTTTCTCTTGACCTGGCCTAGTTGGACACCCCCACCAGTTGATCCTCTAATGCCCTGTATGTGCTTGTTAGTGTGGAGCTTCCCATCCCACCAGCAAGCTTAGTCTGGTTCCTGTCAAGTACTTACAGTTTAGTGCATGATCCCGTGCTGCTCCCTGGGGATTATGAGTGAGGCCCGAGTCTGAGAAGGTCTGGTGGTGGTTGTTTTTTGCAAGGGTAAGTGGCTGCTTCTGTATGTGAGAACATCTCCTACCCTGCTAAAAATTCCATCCTGAATACATGAAGTCTCTTACCCGACTGGTTCAAATTATGTAGAAAGAGTTCCATCTTATTCTGTATATACTGACTGTGAATATTGTTATGCTCCTGCCAGACATTATATAATGTGAAAGCTGAGATTTCCCCCCCATTGGGGGCAGAATATTGTAAAACAGGCTCACTCTGCTCATTGGAAGTGTCAATTACCCGCCTTTCAGACCTCCTGGATGTGGATAAAGATGAGGCATTAACGGAATCGGATGGATACTGTACAACAAAACTTTTGTATGAAGGTAGGCAAGTTGAGCAAGCTTATGGTGGGGCAGTTTATGATATTTGGCTCCACTTCAGTTTGTCTATAGAGTGGTAGCCAGGCATGGTATGGTGTAGTAGCTAAAAGTGTGGTGTGTGGTGGTTAAGAGGGGTGGATTCTAATCTGGAGAACCAGAAATCTCTCAGCCCCACCCACCTCACAAGGTGTGCCTATTGTGGGGAGAGGAAGGGAAGGCAATTGTAAGCCACTTTGAGACTCCTTAAGGTAGACAAAAGTGGAGTATAAAATCCAGCTGTTCTTAATAATCCCAATGCCAATCCTGAGAACAGATGCATCTTCTTTGGAACCCAGTTATTCAGCTGTTTTAACTTCTGCATACTGGTTATTGTAGTTGTTAATGATTTTACAGTACCATCCAATGCACATTTACTTAGAAGTTCCATAGTGTCTCATGGAAATGTACATAGGCTTGTAGCCCTAGTTTTTTAACAGATGCTCATTTCCCAGTCTCATAATTAAGCATATTAACTTCTATAGCTTAATAGTCGCTAAACAGAGGTAAATCATGCCAGACTTCCAGGTACTGTCACTGGAGGTGTTTCTTGAAATTCATGCCATGAGGAAGGGTTAGCTGCCGCTGGCCTTTGCTACCACCTCCACTTCCCAAAATTGGCTTCTGGTCTTGGCCCCTCCAACTGCCATCTCTTGCTCTTTCTCTAATCAGCTATACAGTTAATTCTTTAAGGAGCAAGCCAGGGTTATAGGGAGAAGCCTGATTCTTTCAGAGCCAAGTGGATCTGCATTCATGTGTCTTGCACAGGTCCCTCATACTGAAGTCTAATGTATGTGAACAATAGATATCAATGTTTCCTTGTTTAGTAGTGTATTAAAATAGCATTTGTTTCAGTTGTAGATAACAGTAGTAATTGGGCAGTGTGTGGGAAGAGCTCTGGAGTGGTATCTATGCCTGTAGCAGCTCAAGCGACCCACAAAGTACACATGGAAGTGATGCCTCTCTTTGCTGGATGCCTTCCTATTCCTGATGTCAGACTATTTAAATACCTCCCCCACCACTCTGCGCACTCTATACAGCTTGATGCTGGTAAGAATGCATTTACATAATGGCTGTTTTGGAATCCTCTTCCCTAAAATTGTACGATCTTCTTTCTATATGCATTTCCATTTCAGAATAATAGTCGATCCCTTAGACACTGCTGAGTAATCATAGAAATCTTCAGCATTTTATTTGGGCGCTTACTTGATAGCCAAGTTCTTCTGAACAAAGAATTGGTCAGCAGAGCACAATTACAAAAATAAGATGCCGCAGCATCTTCTGTAGCCTATGGACAATACATAGGTTGCATTTTCTTTCCTTCTAAATATGCAGCTTCTTGGCTGAAAGTTCTTATGAAAAGACAAATTGTATTTTCATTAAAATGTAGCAAGGCTCATTTAAAGCTTTTCTGCATCCTTCAGAATGCTGCATTAGATCCAAGTTTTGGAATTCATGGCAGAAGTAAATAACTCCTGTTACTCCAGCTTGCATTTCGGGACCTCTGTAAACAGGAGCTGTTTGCAGTGAAACTTTCTTTCAAAGTGATATTCCTTAGTTCAGGAACTATCATGCCTTTTACCACACTGAATATTTTTAAGATAGTTGCAAGATGAGAGAGAACATTATGTTGGTTTTTTAAATAAAAACTATTGTGCTCCCAAGTGAAGACAGACAAAAATGTTTATAATAATAAATACTTTACCGATTCTCTGATGCTGGGAAGGTTATTAATCCATTTCAGAGGGTTTTTAAAGCTACTATTGTAGTTTAACGGCTTAGAATAGAGTATTGGCTCATTCCAGTAAAGGCTGTAGTTAATCCAAAAGATGATTTGCAATAATCTTAGATTGCTTTAATTATAGAAGGCATTTTTGCCAGCTCTGTTTCTAGTCAGCAGTATTCTACACAGCCTGAAGGCTGAAATGGAACCTGCTGTTCTGATTATGCATACATTATGGACAATTGTACTTTAGATGCCACCCGTGCTTATGTTGGAAGAATTGTCAAATACTAGAGATGTGATCTAACAGTTCCTTTCACACGTGGGAGTTTCAGTAAGGACTCAGAAATCCATACATGTTAGGCCTTCCCCTCATTGCGGTACTTTTGTACTTTTTAATTGTTTCTTTAAATAAGAAATGTTATGCATTTTCTCTTCTTAGACAGCTGGATTGAAAATGATAATCTTTCAGTGGACAAGAATGTGGATGATCAAGCTGACAACAGTAGCATAAAGAGCAGGAGCAGTGTACACTCAGCAACCAGTGCAGAACACAAAGGCTTGCCGATGCCCCGTCTGCAATCATTTTCCCCTGGGCAGGTGTTCAACTCCAGTGCTGGCATGCAGGTCCTTGTCATTCCCAGCAAGGATGATCATATTTTAGAGGTTAATGTCACATGACACCTCTTGGTACATGTGTGTATACATACATACATGAGACTTGAATGTGAATGCACTTTAAGGGATCATAATCTGATTGTACTTCAATAAAACATTCTAACGCTAATGAGGCCTATGGCAACTCAACCCTTACTGGCCATGGAAGCATCCACCAATTGTATCAATTTAAAATGTACAGTGAAGCTTGTGTCAGCTAGTTTATATTGCTACTTTAGAGTGTTTGTGTAAAATGGATTTTGGTTTCTCCCTTGCCCTCCCCACCCCCGCCACATGATGAAATCTTATTGCAATTGGTTTTTTAAGTTGAGCAGCTTCCAAAACTGCTGCTTCTTTGGGAATACTTAAGTTTCTGTTCAAAGAATATTTCAGGTTGACATACAATAAGCCTTGCAGTTTGTCTGTCAATGGCTGAAGTGTGTGCCTTTCTTGTTGCACGACTGTCTGGTTTCCTGGACCAGGGTAGCTTTCAAATTTCTGTGTAATAGCTATGGGATTCAGAATCATTCACTTATCTACAAGATTTTAAATATGTATATATATTTTCTTGAAGACTTGCTTAACTACTTCTGTGCCTTGGGATATATGAAATTTATTAGCCTACTAGCAGTCTTTTGAAACCATACCATATACAGAAACATTATGCTATGTTGCTGGGGGAATACACATACCTTCTTGATGCAAGTAGTAAAGTGGCACATAAGTGGTTAAGTTAGAAATAAAGGTTAATTGGACCAAGCTTCTCTCCTAATCAATAACTACTATGTTGAGTTTGAGGATATAGCTTTGATTAAATATTTGTCATTTTTTTTAGACCAAAGTTTGTTTCTTTCCCCTTTCCCAACTACTGTTAATTTATTTTGGACAACAGAGGCCCCCACCCCCCATATATTTGCACCTTATTCTAGAAAAATCTGAAAAAAAGCAAATAAAGGCAAGGAGCGCTTTATTTGACTACTTTTTCAGTCCAGTTACAGGGAGATGTAAAGTCCAATTGAACTTCTTCTGGTCCAGCAAACAGCAGTCACACCATACCAACTGATTATTTTTCAGTTGTAAATGTGTTGTACAAATGATTATTTTAAAAAGTCTAACTGATGTAATTGTGTATAATTTACACCAGAAATCAAAGACAAAATAAATGTGTTTTTATTGATGTGAAGATTACAGCTTGTAAATAAGTCTTAGTGTATGGAAACTTTTTCAGCTCTCAGAAATAATGTATTTTTGTACATAAGCATTTCTTTGAAATTCACTGCTACAATCTTAGTTGCTGTTCTTTCCTGTTACTGGGTTACAATCCCCCCTGCAACCTATGTAGCTCTTAGCCACCTCTAGCATACAAATGAATGAATTTTACAGCAACAAGAATATTTGGTACATTCAATACGTTTTTAATATCCCTGGGGGCTGTAGGAAAGCAAATCTTTACAATAATGTAGTCCTTCTGTAGTGTGTATTTCCAGCATTGTGTATCTCTTTACTATTTTCATTACTTAAGAGCTGTTGAAGTTTTTTTTTTTTTTTTGCTGGAGCATGGTAATATCTCAACATGTTTGCCAAAAGTATTGTGAAATGTGAAACAGGTTTCCTACCGAGACTTGAAATTTACACTTCAGTTTCAATACTATGCTCATGAATTACTATCATCAGTTTGGTACTGATTTTTTTCAACTAATCAAAAACATTTATTTTGCAACAAAATCACCTTTTTTTAGCTTGTCTTTTCATTTAACTGTATAAGAATTATGAGACTACACAATGTCAAAACATACACACTTAACTTTTCACCTCAACTGTAACTTTTCACCTCAACTGTAAAAATTATTTAAGCTGCACAGGGCACAAGTTAAAAAGCAAAATATAAAAGTACAGTTTCAGCATATTAAATGATTTGATTTTTTGTGAACAGTCCATAAACAAGATCATTTTATAAGCAGTTAGCCGTTAGCCCCAGAACACTTTTCTCTTGCCTGGTTTTAAAGAAGAATAACATTTGTGCAACTATGTTGGAACTGATGAACTTCACTAAATGCCACATAAGCTTATCACTACTTGAGGAGACATTTGTGTATATTAGGGGAGGGGATTGGTTTCTGAATATAAATGTAAATAATTGATTCAAAATTTGAAATATGTGTATCTTAAAAGAATTCTATTATTTATAGATAGCTGTTAAGTTTGTAAATACTATCAAATGGGTTAAAGGAGTATAATTTTTATGAATTTCACAGACCTATTTGTGACTGGAAAAATTAACTCCTAGTATGGAAATTGTTGAAGTTAATGTGAGATTGTGGTATTTCTTATCTGCAGCTCTGTAAGATTTTATTATTTAAATGATCCTCTAAAGATTAAAGATACACATGCAAAATAGTAAGGGAAGGATTTAAAACAGATTTAAGAACTGAACTTGTCATGGAAAATAAACTGGAAAGCAAGCTAGTGGATAAAAAGTGAATAAAAATCTTGAATATTTTAAACAATAATTGTTTACATTTCTCCTGATCTTCAAAGCATGATTTGTATCTGTTTTCAGTTTGAGATTTCTAGGTATGAAGAGTCCATCCACTTGTGAAAGTGCAGTGGCCAGTTACTTCAGTTAGTTCTTCTGTTAGGCCTCTGCAGTTGTCCACTTAACTAGCTCTAGAAAAGGAGGCTGAGCCACAGGCGAGTGCCAAGCCAACTGTTTTCCAAGGGATTTTAGGCTTGAAGCTCCCTTATCCAATATGATTTAGGGTAGTTTTTATAACCAAGAAATAAAATTCAGTCATACTTCAGTGGAGCATCTTGTAAAACTGTTAAGACTGGCTATTGTGGAAGTGGGAAGGTGGGGTGGGCATAGCTTGAAATACAATAATAGAAAGTGGAATCTGGTGCAAGAATGAAAGTTTTCTTTGTTTTCATCTTCTCAGAAGGTGAAAGCTGCCTGATGCCAGTTCCATCTTGTGATCCACCTGGGTTGTCACCTGGCCAGTTTTCCACTACCACAATGGATGCCCACCCCATTCCTCCTTTCTGGCCAGTTTATATTATAGAGAGAATAGAAAAGAGCCTTTTAAGGTGAAATAATTTTGCTCTGTTGTACCTTTGGAATCAGTGGCTTGGGAACTACATATGCTTTCCTGAACACGACTCCCCTATGTAGAACCCACTCCATATTCCAGAAAGGTGGGCTCAGGTATGCTTGCGGTTGGCAAGTGGTTCCCAACTTGAAACAGCTGCTGAAAGACACTGGAGGATGATGAGTAAACTGCAAATCACCCTGAGCCATGGGGCTCATGCAAGGAATGGAAGGAAAGGGGCCCATTTTCTCCCACCCCCCCCCCCCAATACACACACACTCATCTCAGCCCTCATGCTGCTGTCAGGAAGAGAGCAAGCTGGCCATAAATAAGAGAAAGTAAAACCACTACGGCAGCCAGCCAGGAAAAGAGCAAGCTTGCTACTGTGTGTGTGGGAGGGTGATTTTACTGCCCTTTCTCTATGACGAGCAGCTCTTCGGCAGTCTTATTCTCTTGTCTGAGGTACTGTGCCTCATGCTGAGAAATCAGAAGGCCAAGTGGGAAGCCCTTCCCCTCGCTGCAGATACACAAGGACTGGCTAATGTTCAGGAGAGGTGCTGAGAGGTACTCTAGTAATTTAAATGGTCAGTCAATAGTCAGTACTACTGTTAGTATGTGTGTGGGATGGCACACGGCATGCAGTAGTAATGTTTTCATTGATGGGATATGCAAATATGGCCCTCCAGGAGGTGAGGAGTAAAAGTACCGCTGTTTTAAATCCTTTGCAGGACTAGGCTTGCAGCCAATTCTAGCTGTCATTTCAGTCCAGGCTTTTCCGTTGTTTAAAAGCAGATATATGTTAAATACTGCACTTGTCTTTGCCTCTTCTTGCCTCTGCTGCTTCTTTTGTGCCATCACCTGCCTTTTCTCTACTGATACGTCTTTAACTATAGAAATAACCTTAGATGAATTATTTATTTATTTATTTAGAACATAAGAACATGAGAGAAGCCAGTGTTGGAGTCAGGCCAATGGCCCATCCAGTCCAACACTGTCACACAGTGACCAAAAATACCAGGTGCCATCAGGAGGTCCAGCAGTGGGGCCAGGACACTAGAAGCCCTCCCACTGTTGCCCCCCCCAAGCACCAAGAATACAGTGCATCCCTTGCCCCAACCTGAGAGTTCCTATCTACCTTGTGGCTAATAGCCACTGATGGACCTCTGCTCCATATGCTTATCTAATTCCCTCTTGAAGCTGTCCATGCTTGTAGCCACCGCCACCTCCTGTGGCAGTGAATTCCACGTCTTAATCACTCTTTGGGTGAAGAAGTACTTCCTTTTATCCGTTCCAACCCGACTGCTCAGCAATTTCATTGAGTGCCCATGACTTCTTGTATTGTGAGAAAGGGAGAAAAGTACCTCTTTCTCTACCTGCTCTATCCCATGCATAATCTTATAAACCTCGATCATGTCACCCCTCAGCCATCGTTTCTCCAAGCTAAAGAGCTTCAAGCGCTTTAACCTTTCTTAGGGAAAGTGTTCCAACCCTTTTATCATTCGAGTTGCCCTTTTCTGCACTTTTTCCAATGCTATAATATCCTTTTTGAAGTGTGCTGACCAGAACTGTTATTTTTGAGGTGTGGTGACCAGACGTCAATTTATACCCTGCCCTCCCCGCCGAGGTAGGCTCAGGGTGGCTTACATGAAATGCATATATAAATACAATTAAAATCCATCATAAAAACAACCAAAAACCTTAAACAAATCTGTTATCCTAAAGTGCTGGAACAGTATTCAGATAAAGTGCGAGAGCAGAGAATTTCAAATTTAAAGAATACTCCATAGGTGGCAATAATGATGGTGTTCCTGCACCAGCTCTGTTGATCTGCTGGTGCATATATATATATGCAGCACAGACTGAAGGTGGTGAGGCCAGGACACAGGGACACCCCTCTGTGTATGATTAGTATTTTTGTTGCCACTGCCCCTTGGCCT